GAAAATCCAACTTTTAGCACTGAAACTACTTATAGCTCTGTAAGTTTTTCTCTGCCAAATAACTGCTTTAAGCTGGAGACATTCTACTTACTGCTTTTCGAATATGCTGTCTTTTTATTAATGAGTGAATATGGTTTGCTGAATCACTATCTAGTCCTTCTTCCCTTTTTCCCACTGAGTGGCTCAGTGTTTTTCACTTTGTGACTGTCAAAGTAACTGTCAAATGTCAAAAGAAAAAGCAGAAATCTGTAACTATGCATACTGTAGCCAATGACTCGGCCTACAGAATCACTTTTTCTTTGTCTGAAGTAATGTTTTATATGTTTCAGTAATTTGCATATACATCGTTTGATATATACATACATATAGATATATATATATATATTTTCCTCATCGCCAGAGCTGGTGTTAAAGAAAATCTTGTTTGATTATTTTAACAGTGCAAAAGTCGTCCACATTTCATTGCCTTGATTCAAATTGTGTCCGAAGATGCAACAAGTCAAGTGGCTTTTAACTGTTTACAAATAGAAAATGATTGTAATGTGTACAGTTTGGTTGCGTTAATCTGAAGTTCCTTACAATATTATTAAATCAATGTTTTGGCTGCTCATTACCATTTTATTTTTAAATTTTTTTTTAATTATTTTGTTCTCCCCCTTCCCCTCCCCCCTTTTCCCCCCTTCCACAAAACTGGTTTGTCATTGAAAATGGCTTGCCTCTGTACTTGTGGCCAAGGAAGGCTGGATTAGAGGTGAATGTAATCTATTGCTGGTAGTTTAAATGATGTGCATAGATTTACAGACTATTTACCTTTTATTGTACTATATTTTAGGTGCACAATTTATGAGACGCTTCAAGAGCGGGAGGGAGAGAAAGATGTCAGCATTAGGCTAAGCCATGGACCTTAATATTTGTTTAAGCTGTTGTTTTTTCTCCCTTTTGTTTTATTTGAGTAGAACTTGTGTGGTGTGTTAACTTATCCATATTTAATGACTCGTCGTACAAAACCCCGAGTATTACCCTCACTTTATGGTTGCGTGCCAGTATTGAACCATTTTAAGTGACTGCTTTACCAAATATACTTCAATCAAAGGATTTGTTTACTTAATTCCAGACCTGGCTTATCTCATTTTGTTTGTTTGACAAATTTTAAGTGGAACATTGGAGAGAAACTACATAACGAAAGCCGAAAAGGAGTTTTTGGAATTGCACTTGGTGTATACAATGAACTAGAAAAGCTTGTACTGTATTTGTGTTCTGGAGGCAGAGTGTAGCTTTTGGAGACTGGACTGCATGGACAGAGGACTTTGCCTTTTGTTTGTCTTTTTATTCTTCGTGTACATTGGCAAGACTCTTAAAGCGTGCGTTTGTGCCTGCGAGCTTGAGTGGTCCACTCCATTCCTGCGCATCAGGAGCCCAAGTATTCTCCTCTTGTTTGGGAGCGTATAACTGCAGGTATCGCCGATCGTTTTGCCGTGACTTTATTTACTCCCTCGATGTGGATCGCTCAATCTTTTGTGCTTTAGTTACATGTTCGAATGCGTCCGGAATAGCGTTGGTCCTTTCTGGAAGTGCTTTACCAATGGTTCTGAATGGGTTCTTCCCTGCTGTCTTGGCAAACGTGCTAGTTTCCTTATACTTTGTGGCTTTTTACTTTCGAAAGCATAGGGAAAAGCCATTGGCACCCAGTTTACTTCCACTTTTAATTGTTTATTTTGCTTTCATTTTTTCCCCCTCCCCTCTTTTCCTCTTAATTTAGTTTTATGTATGTGCAGCTGTTTGGTGTTAGTCAGAACTGTCATGCTGAGACATTTTGATAGTTCACTGTCATGCCAAATTAACAAGTTGGGGGAGGAAAGGGATTTGTTCTTTTGTAAAAGCTGGACAATGTATATGCTTCAAATGTCACTTGCGTAATGGATGTTTTGAGGATATTCATGAGCAATGTACAATCCCCATTTTTATAGCCAGGTTGAACGTAGAGGAAATGAAAAAGTGACTTGGCCTGACATTCTACTTTTGTACTGAAAATGTCATTTCTTTTCTGATTGATCCTGTGAGCAAATATACCCATGTCTTTTAAATGGTTCCTACTGTTGAACAATGTGCTAAGGCAATTGACTTAAACTGTGAGTATTGCTGTCATGTCATTATAAACCCGAAAAGCTTTAGTAAAACCAGCACAAGAAAATGGATGAACGAGTTTAAATCGAAACTTCCACCATGGGGAAATTCTAAGAGAGTCTATGCAGTGTAGGGTGAGGCTTCCATGTCTCGGTCTTTGCTTAATGAAATCCTGACCGCGGTAGTGGTCGGATTTAAAAATACGATTCCTGTAATGTGCCATGATTGAAATTTTCTTTCACTTTTTGTCACGAAAAATTGGCCAGTTGTAGCAAATGGAGGGTTGCATTAACATTTCCTTTTTCACAGCGCTCCTCACAGAACGGGCTGTGGAATAGCAAATTCTCAACTCCAACATTTCTTCTAGTGGTCTGTCAAGAAAATAGTTTGCTCACATGTAACCTATATGCACACTGCTTTGGTAGACTGTTTAAAAATGAATAGAAATAAAACATCAATAAGATAACTTAAATGAGCAGGAAGTTCTTTTCAGCGTCTTCCTGGGGTCATCTTAGAATTTTAACTTGGGGAACTGCACTTTTTGAAGGACAATCCTTATTTGTATTGGTAACAATTGACACAAGGTTTAGTCTAGTAATACATGGTAGATATTCAAATGTGTAGTGATGAATGTTTCCTGTAATGCTGTTTTTCTTTTAGTTTTTTTTTCTTCTCTTTGTTGCTTGGTTTTCAATTTTAGTACCCTTAAGTGCATATGTAACGAGGTAGTTGAGATAATAGAGTAGTTTTTAGGTCTTTTGTTGGCTGTACTTGTAGACTGATAATAACTGTTTGTAAAGTCCTGATCTTGATATTGGAATACAAAGCTGTATAACTTGGGTACAACCCGCAATAAAGCCTAACAGTGATATGGTGTGCAATGTTTTTTTGTCTTTAATATACTTTTACTACAAGTGCAATTGGGAAAACACTTTTTGCATCAACAATCTTCCTGAAATTGCTGTAGCTCAGTAATCCTGCTATTATTGGTCACTGCAGAATAAATCATGGGTGGCATATTCTTGCAAATATGGTATTTTCATAATGTCATGATAAACTTTTGTGAGATACCACATGCTGGTGCCATTATATAATCTAAGGCCAATTAAATATTAAAGGGGTCATATGATGCGATTTCAAGTTTTCCTTTCTCTTTGGAGTGTTACAAGCTGATTGTGCATAGATAAGATCCCTGAAGTTGCAAAGACTAAAGTCTCAAAACCAAAGAGATATTCTTTATCAAAGTTAAGACTCTGCCATGCCCCCCTAAAACGGCTCGTTCTAACACGCCCCCACATATCTACCTCACTATGTGGAAATATTAGCATAATGCCGCCCAAATGTGCATGCAAAGAAAGAAGGCGTGGTTTCAGTAACCGCAGTTAGTGTTGAAGCAGCCATGTCAGGGAGACGCTGTGTGTTTCTAGGCGAAAGCAAAAGCACTTTATTTGGCCTTCCGAAAGTAGATGCATTTAGAAATCTTTAAGATTACTTACAACAGAACAGCAATGCATTTTATGGACGACCGTTTCATGGACCTAGGAGAGGAGGTCATTCTGACTTTGCTATGACAATCTGGCGCTTCTGAATCAGCTACTGTTTTGTTATTAGTTTAAGTATTTGCTATTGACTGTTCAAATGTGGAGTTTTGCGCATCGTGTGTGTGTGTGTGTGTGTGTGTGTGTGTGTGCGTGCGAGAGAGACAGGGTCACATCACAGTGGAGTTCCCCTTTCGGGCTCTGTCTTTACATTTATTTTGAAATATGAAGCTTGTGATTATGGTAAGGGGCATTACATTTCCGACGAGTGCTTGCGATGTTCGGCCAATCACAATGCACTGGGTCAGCTGGCCAATCAGAGCAGACTGCGCTTGTCGGAAGGAGGGACTTTGTAGAAAACGAAGCATTTGAGAGAGCCGGGGCATAGAGGACCTACAATAATGTACAGTATTTGAAAAATGTTTTTTGAACATTAAAGTATGTCAACATTCTGTTACACCAAATACACAAAATAATGATCTTTAAAAAAAGCATCATATGACCCCTTTAAAAGACCTAACACACCTTTAAAGCTGCAGTGTAATTTCTGTGCCACTAGCAGCACCAAATGAATTTCCCAAAAAAAAAAACATAGATTTGAGTGCTTTTGCATTTATGAAAAACCTAAAAAAAAAAAAGTAAATACATTTTTTTTTTCCCCAGGCCTGGAAAAGTTTTTTTATTTGTATATTTTTAATCATGCTTTAGACAAACTGGTACACAACTCAGTCTAAATTCTATAGTGAATCAGTCTGAATTTTTAAAACCTTTATCCCTGTACCAAATGTAATGCTCATTGTTAATGCATTAACTGGTGGGAACTTTTTCTAAATGAAATGTATTGTAATATGGTAGGTAGGTATGCAGTTTTCAGTTAACACAGAAATTGCATATCATTGTTCTTCGAATTTCAGTATTTTGAAGATGGAAGATGTATTTGGACTGTATTTCGAAGATGGATCTGACCTCCGTCCAAACCTCCGGCTTTCACGACAGTCCATCACGTCCCTCATCGCTGCTTTGAAGTCAGATTCTGACCGCGTCGCCGCCTTCCGCCATTTTCGAATATGACGCCTCCTCTCGCGTGGCCTCATGGGATAGTAAAGTGTCCATCCTATGCATGCTACGGAATTCGGGCGGAAGTAGTAGGTCATCCGGGTACTTCTCGCCTACTGTTTTTCGAATACTATGAATTCGGACATACTACTCGCCTCGCATACTGTTTTTCGCCTGCTATATAGTATGGAAGTATGCGATTTCGGACGCAGCGAATGTATTTAATCTACGCTGTAAACTAGAAACGAAAAGCATAAATCTTGATCCACACTCCAGTCCAGTCGGTGGCGGTAATGCACCTATTAGTTGGTTTGCTAACCGCCAATAAAATACCAAAGAAGAAGAAGAAAAAGAAACGAAAAGCAGTCAGAGTAAGACATTTTTTGCACGACCACTGAATAAAGCGTGTGCGATCTAATGCTTCCTCTCGACACACGCTCCGAAGCCTCGGCACAGAACGTAACATAAACGTAAGTTTGCTCTGCGCAGAGGAATGAAAAACAGAAGCCTGGACGTTAATAATCCACAACCAGCATGCTGCACAACAACAGTTAAAGCTGGGTCAATAACAATGCAACAAGGCAAACAGCATATGCTAACTGTGCCTTTAATAGTCAGTCTTTATTGGTCATTATAAATATTGTCACAAAGCTTCTTGATGCACCACACAGAAGAAGAATAACACTGGTCTTGCTTTGCACGAGAAGGGAAGCATGGAGCCTGCGAGCCTGGAGAACTTGTGTGTTTTGTACCACAGCGCAAACTATATAGTTGTCAACAAACACTGGGATATCCGTATCGACAGCAAAATGTGGTATGAGAAACAGACTGTCCAGAGTCAGCTGAAGCATCGCTTCCCAGAGCTTGCAGATCCTGGCACCTACTACGGCTTCAGGTTTTCTGTTACTTTGCTATGTGCCGAGACGAACAATTATTTAAACAAGCACATGTATCTTATCAGTAGTTCATTCGTGTGTATTCTGATATTCTGCAGGTTTTGCCATCAACTGGATTTCTCTACTAGTGGTGCTTTGTGTGTAGCACTGAACAAGGCAGCAGCAGGGCATGCGTACCGCTGTTTTAAAGACAGACTTGTGACCAAAGCTTATCTCGCTCTGGTACTGTAACATTCAGACGTTCATTGGATTTGGATGTATAGAAGGTTTTTCATAATAATATAGGGCATTAATATTTCCTGTGCAGGTCCGTGATATTGTGGCTGAGGAGAAAATGGCACTGGACTTTGCGATCGGCAAGAACACCACAGAGGGCAAGACCCATATGATGTGTACTGAAGGAACAGACGGTCAGAATCTCTTGTGCTCCAAACTAAACACACAAAATGAAAGAAAATTTGCTTTAAATTTACTCGCCCTAAGGCCATCACAATGTAGATGAGTTTGTTTCTTCAGCAGAACAGATTTGGAGAAATTTAGCATTACATGCTCACCAATGGTTCCTGTGCAGTGAATGGGTGCCGTCAGAATGAGTCCAAACAGCTGATAAAGTCATCACATAATCCACAAGTAATCCACACAACTCCAGTCCATAAATGAATGTCTTGTGAAGTGAAAAGCTGTGTGTTTGGAAGCAACAGATCCATCATTAAGGTGGTTTAACTTTAAAAGAGTTACTTCTGGCCAAAAAATGTCCATAATCCATAATAATGCTTCCTTCAGTGGAAAAATCCTCTCACATCAATAATCCACTGACATATTTGTTTAAAACTGTTCTGGACTGTTTTTGCATGTAAACGGTGCTTGTTCTGTGTATATTTCTCTCCTGATTCAGACATTCAATTTTTTTCACTGGAGAAAGCAATATTATGGCTAGAGGACTCATATTTTAGCTGGAAGATAAGCATTTCTTAATCATAGATTTGTTTTTAACAAACACACAGCTTTTCATTTCACAAGATGTTAATTGATGGACTAGAGTCACTATTTATCAGCTGTTTGGACTCTCATTCTGACGGCACCCATTCACGGCAGAGGATCCATTGGTGAGCAAGTGATATAAAGCTATTATGTTATAGTATTACATTATAATTTATCCAGAGGGTAAACAGAGAGGAACAAACAAACTCATCTACATCTTTGATAGCCTGAGGGTGAGCACGTTTTCATTTTTGGATGAACTATTCCTTTAAACTAATAGAAACGCATTCATGCATAAATTTCATATTATGTGTGGTAGGTTGTGAGAATCCTAAGACCTGTCAAACAGAGCTGACAGTTTTAGAGTATGGAGAATATGACGGAGATCCAGTGACAAAAGTGCTTCTGCAGCCACTGACAGGTACAGCATCATCAACAATACAGACAAAATATAGATGAAACACACTGTCAAATGAATAAAAAAGTAAAAGTATCAAAAACCCTGTAGGACGGACGCACCAGCTCCGAGTTCACTGCAGCGCCATTGATCACCCCATAGTGGGAGACTACACTTACAGTCTACGCACAGACAATGCTCCGTATCGCATGATGCTGCACGCCTACTTCTTGCACATCCCACTAGAGAATGAACCCATCCACGTCACAGCCCCAGATCCCTTTGTACCCACCCTCGACTCCAAATGGGCACCACAAAGATGTGTGAATGTTCTGGAGGATTTACTGAAGAATATTTTGACACAACCACAAACTGAAATCCGAGAAGATCCAGAGCCAGTGCACGGGAGGAGCAGCCCAGTGGAGAGTGAGGAGCAACAGGCACAGTGTCAGCAGTGGTTATGTGAGTGGAATCTGGACTGAGGAACTCTTACACTGTTTTACCAGTACAGTACTGAAGCTATATTGCAGTGTCCCCAGCTCTAGAGTACCCTTTAAAAGGTAGTCTGTAGTCAGCGCTCCTCAAGAACAGTAAGAACTGAAGGCATAAAGGGGTTTTGAACCAATTGGCTGATCTGTGTATGAAGAAGAGCACTGTGTGCCATAGTGTACATTATAGAGACCCCCCCCCCCCCCCCCCCCCAAAGTTTGGGGTCGGTAAGATTTTTAAAAAAATCAAATAAAATTTAAGAAAGTGATTTGCTCACCAAGCCTGCATATATATGATCCAAAATACAGTAAAAACAGTAATATTGTGAAATATATTTACAATTTAAAAGAACTGTTTTCCATTTTAATATATTTTAAAATGTCATTTATTTGTGAATTAATATATTGCTGAATAAAATTATTAATTTCTTTAAAAAAAAAAATCTTACTGGCCCTGAACATTTGAACAGTAGTATACGTAATTTGAACTAAAAATATTGAAAGAAAAGGGAGAGCATGATATTAAGAGTGCCAAGAGGAACAACTTTTAAAAAATCATTCCAATCAAGTATCTTTACCTCTTTCAAATGCAAGTATTCTAAATGTCCGAGTGGTATTGTTCATTGTATGAATGCGTAACTGTATGGTTTTAGCATTTGTGCTTTTAAAGCAATAGTGATTTAAAAAATGTTATGACAATTTTTATGTTTATTTATTTTATTAGTTTTTGTTGTGGTCTAGACGGGGCCAAGACTCAGTCAAGGCAAGTTACAGTATGCATAGATGAAAGGTCTTCTTAATTCTTGTACTTAAATTGTGTGAAGCATGTTTATAGAAATCCATTGCTTCAGATAGACTGAACAATCCCTACCTCAAAAAATGCAAATGTAGCTGTATTTTTTAGCATGTCATCCTGTATTTGTGAGAGCTGTGCTTTAAACATCGCTACACTATTGACAGAAGGCAAGGGTTTTTTTTGGCCAACCAAAATTTCACTAATGTGACTGCACCTTACAAAAGGAGCATGTTGTTTGGTAAAAGCCCCCCAAATGTGCTGTGGTCATTTCAAATGAGTCCGTATAGACACTTTAAAAAAGCATTTATTATCTGTAATCTGTGTCTGTAATCTGTCTTTACAAACAGAAAATGTTTAGTGTTGCAGAAATGGCAAAGTTTAATAAATAAAGGCCCTTCCGTCTAACAGCAAATCACTGTCATTTTTTTTCAGCCACACCAGCAGGACTGCAGTGTACAGTGACATTATATGAGATACACTAACAGAAATCGAAAAATACTGACATGAAAACAAGGATATGGTGTTTTGCATACAAATCACATATTTTATCATTTCATATTCTGTTATCATAGCGAGGGATTTTTACTCCAAGTGAATACAACAGTGAATAAAACTAATAGTGGCATTACTTTGTTTGAGATTTACAACTTTTAACTTAGAGCTAAAGAGATGGTTGGGAATATTAGTCCATATTGGTTCCTTTGGTCCCAGAATGAAAGTGAGCGAGACAAAAACTAAAAGTTCAGTCCTAGATCTGGCTGAGAGGGAGGAATTTCTGGTAGTAACTCTTAGTAACGTCGATCATCAGTTCCTGTGTACATTCAGGGAGCTCTCCTGAAAACAAACCTGAAATACAGAATAAAACAGCTTAGACTATATTTACATTTACCAAGAAATAAATAAAATAATATATCTGAAGGTACCCACCTGGACAGCCAGAGAATACTGTAAATGGAGGAACCACTGTCTCTGGGGGAAGGACAGTATTATCCAGTATCTTACAACAGTCCTTCAAGACACAGCGCCGACCCTAAAAAAAGAAACATGCATCAAAATTAAGCACCATTAGGTGTTACACCCACGAATCAAATGGGAAGTTACAAATGAGGGAGCTACTTGCAATCACACAGTTCTTGCCAATGTGGACGTATGATCCTATCTGTGCAGCGTTGACAACGCAGTCCTCCTCTATGAACACATGATCCCCAATATGCAAGGGGAAGAAAGCCACGCTGATGTACACAGAACAAGAACAAACGTAAGCAAGTTAAATCATACAAACGGTTTCAGTGAGAATACAGATGTTTTACATTAAATCACCCTTTGCTGAATTTCTTGAACGGAGGTCTGATCACACTGCGACTTTTAATGACACAGTGGCGCCCAACTCTGACATTAGCGAGATCTCCTCTGATGATACAGTCATTCATCACGACAGTCTGAAAAAGAGGTCATTTCAAATAGTTAACACACAGCTGGGGGAAATAACAAGACGAAATCAATTCGAAAAAGCTCACTTTTCCATTGAGAACAATGTTTTGACTGCCGCAAAGAACCGATTGTCTGCTGACTTTGTTGCCTGATGCCTAGAGAAATCAAATGAGAACGTTACCATCACATGACGGTCCAGCTCTGGGCTGCTGTGAGCACTTCAAAAACACCATGTGCAAATGATACAGACGTTTACTGACTGGTAAGTTATGACAAACTAACACTTTTGAGCTGGTGCTCATCTTTGTTTATAATACAATACACATTCGGTTAGCAGAGGCGTAAAGTTAGTAGTCTGGTCAGATCATTCTGAATTTATTATTTGCAAGCGCTCGATTCAGCTGACGGATATTATCGATTTTAATAACATACCGTCTCGATGTATTCAGCCTTGTTGTATAATATTTCACACAGCTCCATCTCTGCACAATTGTATTGTTTTGCTGGCGAACCACTTCAGTTGACCAGCAGCTGTCAACCAACCGCTCCCTCGCTATTTCCGCTTCCGGTTAGCAGCAAGACATGCCTTGTAGAACACAGTAAAATGACAAGGACGGACATATATTATATATATTGTAATTTCATTGCATACACAAACAATTTAACGAGAAATTTTGATATAAAATATGTATTATGTAATATGCACGACAACTGCAAACATCAGAAATATGCTAATGTAAGACCCCGTTTATTTACAAGTTCAGTTAATTTATCATTTTTTAGTTGAATGTGTAGGTGTTTTACTATTTTTGAATGTAATCCAAATCAAATTTGATTTCTGACCAGACGTCCCGTTTTCCCCGGGACAGTCCCGTATTTCAGCTCTATTTTTAGTGTCCCGACTTATTTTGAAAAAAAAAATCATGTTTTGTCCAGTATTTCCAAATTTCTTTAGACTGGGTGATCAGAGCAGGTAGTAGAAGTGTTCTGTCACGCGAGAACAGCCTAATCAAACTCAAAGGTTACTTACTTTTTAAAAATGACAATCCAATCACAATGTGTTATGGATTGCAGTGAGTGAGTGAGTGCAGGTGGGATAGATAGGCGGAATCACGCTGAATGACACAGAAGCGCTCTCTCGGCCGCGCGATCAGTTCTCCTTGCGCCTTTATTGTCAAATACACACACAGCTGTCAAAATCTCCATCATGTGGAGTATCTCACGTAAATACAGTCGGTTATGGCTTACGTGAACGTAAACAGGTGGGTGAAAACCGGATATATGTGTCAGTATATTACATCATCAGAAATATGCTAATGTAAGACCCCGTTTATTTACAAGTTCAGTTAATTTATCATTTTTTAGTTGAATGTGTAGGTGTTTTACTATTTTTGAATGTAATCCAAATCAAATTTGATTTCTGACCAGACGTCCCGTTTTCCCCGGGACAGTCCCGTATTTCAGCTCTATTTTTAGTGTCCCGACTTATTTTGAAAAAAAAAATCATGTTTTGTCCAGTATTTCCAAATTTCTTTAGACTGGGTGATCAGAGCAGGTAGTAGAAGTGTTCTGTCACGCGAGAACAGCCTAATCAAACTCAAAGGTTACTTACTTTTTAAAAATGACAATCCAATCACAATGTGTTATGGATTGCAGTGAGTGAGTGAGTGCAGGTGGGATAGATAGGCGGAATCACGCTGAATGACACAGAAGCGCTCTCTCGGCCGCGCGATCAGTTCTCCTTGCGCCTTTATTGTCAAATACACACACAGCTGTCAAAATCTCCATCATGTGGAGTATCTCACGTAAATACAGTCGGTTATGGCTTACGTGAACGTAAACAGGTGGGTGAAAACCGGATATATGTGTCAGTATATTACATTCATTCGGTCTTAAAGGGACAGCAGCCTAATTAAATACCTGTCTGGCTCATTAATGTTAATCAAACAACAAAACATGTATTGAACCATGAGAAATCTGGTCACCCTATTTCTGCGTGATGCTACTTTTTTACATATAACCTGCCAAACCCTCTTTAACCGCATGAAAGCGCTGCTGTATCCTTTCACAGTTTTAACTCCCGCTGTCCCGCAGTACGGAGGCGGTATTATTTTTTGAAACGTGCCTCATTAATCCACAGAGCTCTGCGCTCGTGGGCTCGGTTCTCACCCACAGTGTTGATGAGCTTTTATCCGCCAGTAAATAGTTTATGTCAAAATAATGTTCAAGTTTGCTATGCAAAAGTTAGTGTAGTATGCACTACAAATACCCTTAAAACTAAAAGGATGCGTCATAAATTCTAGTAAGCTATGGACTACGAATTTAGCTTGCACTATAAACCAATTAGTCCAAAGGAAAAAAATAATCATTTCCATTTCCAGTGGTTGTCATTTCCACATTATACATTCTGTCCAGTTCAAGCACCTCTGCAGTATTTCTGTTTACTCGTGAGCTGGGAACATCCTCCTGAATGCACACACAGCCCCCTCACCTTGAATGAAATGTGCTCAAGCAAATGCAGTGTTGTGTAAGACCACATCTGCCAGCTTGAAATTCTCTTATAGTTATACAATACCACAGATCAGTTATCACAATGTTACAGCAGAGGTCACTTTGACATTGTATTGACTAGTTATTCAGTTTTGTACACAGCTGTAGGCTGCATTGTGTGCCCCCACAACCAACACCCCTAAAACATTGTGTATCTTTAACAGAAATAGTTAACAGTAAAATCTATTTTTATTAGATCAAGCAGATAAATGTGTTGATGTTTGGCTGCTGGCGTCTGTGTGGGAGGATTTGTCTTGCTCATTTGAGTCTTTATCAATAGATTTACATCAGGAACACATATCCCGCATTTGAACTCAAGAAACTGTTTATATGTCTCCAAGCACTGAGGAGGTGCCTTTATCTCTTTGTATATCTGCTGAAGGTTTTGATGTTCACATAAGCAAGACTTCACTGTTTTCATCACCAAATGTGGTATTTTATTCTGTTTTGTCTGATTACTGCCTCTACTGTGTTTGTCAGGGCTCTTTAAATAACATAAACTATTTTCATACTTTTCTGAATCATGCTTCTCTTAGCAGTGAAGTTCTCAGCGCTAGCTGAGCTAAAAATAGTTCAGGGGTCGCTGTGTCTAAAGAATGTGCTTTTAGTCACTTTGTATGTGTGTGTGTGTGTGTGTGTGTGTGTGTGTAAATGCACAGAAAGATATGTGGAGTCTTGCCATCATATAGTCATCACTGCAGGGCCAGGGTTTCACGAGGGCTTTATATAATACATAAAGCCTCCATGTCTGTGGGCGACGGACACACTATCTATCTGTTGAGAAGAGCCAGTGGAGCCAAAGTCAGGACGGTATTGAGTGTGTCGAGATAATTTGTTTAGGCTGTGCTTAAAGAGAAAAGGAAAACACATTTGAAGAGATGATGCTGACCCCTGCACAGCTACCAAAATGTCTCTATATTGTAATCATTATGATCACACTTGTAATAATCGCTTTAATGAGCTTTTGCCTAAAATTAATTCATGTTAGCTAGCTGGTTGATTCTACTATCTTGAACTGTTCATTTGTGAAATGAACATTACTTGGACACATTCACGTCTGCTTTGTAATGTAGACACATGCATTATCTTTAAAGCTGCTTTGAAACAATGTGTATTGTGAAAAGAGCTATACAAATACATTTGAATTGAATTGAAAACTGGAGGCACTGTTAGCCAGTCTCCTTTCTCTCTGTCTTATAATATGTCTTTCTCTCCTGATTCAGAGTGTGTAGGTTTTGTCTCTGTTGAGTGGTTATGCTTCCTGTTTTGGAAAAATGCTATCTAATGCCACTCTCCCTGCAACAGGATCATATGTATTGAGTCATAATTACTGCGGTATATTGGCCATTGAAATAGACGGTTGGCACGACATGACATAAACAATACTGTTCAAAGTCAATACGGTTTTTTTTTAGAAAGATTCTCTTATGCTCACCAAAGCTGCATTTTGTAAAAAAAAATATGGTAAAAACACTTATATTATTTTTATAATATTGTGAAATATTATTACAATTTAGAATAGCTGTTTTTTTTATTTGAATATATTTTAAAAATATAATTTATTCCAGTGTTGCAAAGCTTCCAGTCTTCATTGTCAGATGATGCTTCAGATTCATTCTAATATGCTGATTTGATGCTCAAGAAAAAATTCTTATTATTGTCACTATGATAATAATTGCAGTTGTGCTGCTTACTGTTTTTGTGGAAACAGTGACACTTTTTTCAATATTCTTTGATGAATAGAAAGTTCAAGAGAATATAATTTATTTGAAATTTTTTGTAACATTATAAACATCTTTTACTTTTGATCAAGTGACTTTTGAATAACTGACCCCAAACTTTTGAATGGTAGTATATAAACAAATTTTGTATTTAATATTTAAAATGTCAGTTATAGCTCAAACATGAGCTACAAACGTTCATACGTAAAATAAATCTTTTTTTTTTTACACAATCATCTAATCGGACTAATTTATTCATAAAATCTATAACTAATACAGAGGTTAGCTGTGAATATATGGACAGATAGAATGACAATATACTGGATATTTTGAACAGCCAATTATATGAACAATTTTGTGGTAAAAGGCAAATGCAGTTGTCCAATTTATTTATTGAATGTTTTAACATGTTTAATTAGATAGGTATGATGTTGGTCTGTTCTGAATTCTAATTTTTAAATGTCAACTACTCATGCATGTATGTACAATATTACACATTTGTTTAACACACATTCTATTAATAAAGCACTAGCTGAGAAAATGACCCTGACATTAAAAGCACAGTTCTTAATGACCTTTAGGCCAATACTTAAAAAATGCTACAACAACATGATTAAGTTCATGTTCTTCATCCAAAGCAATTAAATTTATTCATAAAATCTATAACTAATACAGAGGTTAGCTGTGAATATATGGACAGATAGAATGACAATATACTGGATATTTTGAACAGCCAATTATATGAACAATTTTGTGGTAAAAGGCAAATGCAGTTGTCCAATTTATTTATTGAATGTTTTAACATGTTTAATTAGATAGGTATGATGTTGGTCTGTTCTGAATTCTAATTTTTAAATGTCAACTACTCATGCATGTATGTACAATATTACACATTTGTTTAACACACATTCTATTAATAAAGCACTAGCTGAGAAAATGACCCTGACATTAAAAGCACAGTTCTTAATGATCAATTACCTTTAGGCCAATACTTAAAAAATGCTACAACAACATGATTAAGTTCATGTTCTTCATCCAAAGCAATTAACACCATCCAAATTGCAAAAAAAAAAATTCCCCTTAAGAGCCTTGTTCATAATAAAAATCAAGTAGTTGCCTATAGACCTTCTAGCATCACTCTACCTTAAGCGCCTCTGTCTGTTTTAGCATTCCTGTAATCTTCACAACATCTGACAACAAATAAATAAATACATTATTAATTGGATTCAATCATGAAAAGAAATATGCTTTTGTGTCTCAAAAAACAATGGACATTTGAGGTTTCACCGCTGTGTGTCCTGTCCTTGCTTTGGTGCTCCACAGTGAGGTGACCTGATTTTGCAGGCGCTGAGGGAGAGGCCTTTCTCTGTGGAGGTTAAGACAGCCTGTCTGAGTCAGAATGCATGTATAAGCATCATCACACTTCCCGTCCTTTTCCTGCTTTTTACATCAGTGTAAAGGAAGATGTGTGCTCAATTGAACTGAATCTTATTTACATGTATGTTAGAACTAGATAAATAACATATGTTAGAACTAGATAAATAACCAGACCTTTCAAGTATGCCCTTAATGATATTGAAAATTTATTTATTATTATTATTATTTGTTTTTTTACATTTGTAACTATTGTACATGTTGTACATGAAAGTTAATCTGAATACATATTTGCATGGATTGATCTACAGACCTGTTCAACTAAATATTATTTTATGAAATTAATTACATTAATAATTTTAAATATATTTTATTATTATTGATGTTGTTATGTGTTCATCTCTCCTTCATATTTATTTTATTTCATAAATGGGTCTTTATACAAAAAATATACAGTTGTCTTTGTTTTAGGAAGGGGGTCTCTCT